TCACCAGCTATTGATCTTATGATTCTTAATTTTTTTAGGACCTTGTGAAAAGCACTTTGAAAGGTCCAGTACATGCCATTTAGCCCACAAGCACTATTAGCAAATTACAATTTCATTGCCTTGATTCTTCCTCAGCAAGGCTTGTTCTTCACTCACTGCAGAGAACTCTAAACTGGATGAATGAACAACAAAATGCCAAATGAGGTTGATGGAAGTAAGTGTAAATCATAATTTCATATATACACTGATGGGGGTAAGATTGGATCCTGTGTATCCATTCTGCTTATAGCACAGCCTTCCTCTGGTTCAAAGATGCTTCCACCAGTGCAATATGGCTTTTCTGCTGGAGCAATGCTCCTTGTGCTGACTGTGGAACAGATTTCTAGGATCAAGAGAATATCTTGATTAAGTTGATGTGAGGCAGCCATGATAAATGCATATCTCCTTTATACCTTTATAGCAATCTATTGTGTGGCCTTAGTTGATTATAGTGTACAGTTCTATCCCCTCATCTTAAAAAAGATATCACAATGCTGGAAGCTATAGACAAAGATCAAAATGAACAAGGGGTTTGAGAACCTTTCCTATGAACCCGATTTGTAGTAGATTCAGGAAAGACAGCAGAAATGTACTTAATGTAATGAATTTATAGAATAAGAGAGTTCACTGAGTAATTACATCTTATTACTTACATGTAGCACTTTGAGGTAGCTAAATTTCCCCCAGCAGCTCTGAAAAGAACACACTGTGATCACTGATCAGATGATTCTAGCAGCAGTGAGACAAATTAATGTATCTCTTTGCGTGACTACTTTTCACTCCTGGCTTTGCCCTGGATTCTAGACCAGGGGTGTCAAACACGCGGCCTGGGGCTTCTATCAGGCCCGCAGTGGAATGGCTGTTTTCTGCTTCTTCTTCCAGTTCTGCTGCTGCTGCTGCATCATAGGTTTGCAGCTTACAGATACACACCTGAACAGCATATTCAAGATTGCAATAGCACAGACACTTTGATGCAATAATTCAGAGCAAGAGGTGTCAGTTATCAGAAACTGTTCAATAAATAAAATATTGCAAGAGTGCTAATGTTTTAAGCATGTTTTTAAGTTTAAAAAACCCTTTGTGTTTGTGTCCTTTATAAAGTTTATATCTCTGCTACCTCGCATTACATTTTATGACACACATGGCCGAGCCTAACAAGGTCTCCTTTATGTCAGATCCAGCCCTCATAACAAATTAGTTCGACACGTGGAAGACCTCTCTGCATAGACACTGGAGAGCTTCTGCCAGCCAGAGTAGACAACAGTTTGATAGACCAATGGTCAGACTCAGTATAAAGCAGCTGCATTTGAGAGTTGTGAGAAGAAACAACCAGAAAGCTTTGGTAACATAAGCATTGATGGTAGTAAAGGGTGAGAGCTAGATGCTTATTTCATTGGTTAGTTCTGTGAGCATGAGGCTGAAAGCATATATGTAATTGGTGAAGACGAAAAACCTCCAGGAGAGGGTAGCCTGTCAGAAATGATTGTGAGTCCATCAGAAATTCGGGAACCAAAGCAGGCATCTAGAGCTTTTGCTCTAAAAATATGTTTTTGGAATTCATATATTAATTTACTAAAGATGAAATGTGTGCAGGACAAAGTTAAGGGCTGTTTTAGAAAGTCAAGGGATAAAAAGGATACCCAATGTCCAGAGATGAGCGGAAGATGGAAAAGAATAGCCTTCTGGCAAAGAATGGGCTTTGGAAAGTTCTTGAATTTTTAATTTACACTTTGAACTCTGTGTTGCTCTTGTGTCTAAATAAATCTTCCCAGAAGAGCAATTAAATGGAATGACAGAGTTTTACTGCCTGATTTGAGGGGAAATTAAAAATGACACAGGGAGAATGAATGTCTGGTTACAGATAACTGAACCCACACCATAAATGTTTCTTATAAAATAAGATGAACTATGAATATTAATTTTTGGTTTGTTCACTTATGGAATGTGGAATGGCGTACGAAAACAGGGAAATGCAAGGCATGTTAATTTCACTGGCCTGTTCCTGTCGCTATTGAAAATTCTAGCCCAAGAGCTCAAAATCAATTGGATGTGATAGCATTTGAGAACAGCCCTAAACAGGAGTTCCATTTTCTTTGATGGTCCTTAATTCCAGGAAATTGTTTTTAGGCTTACAGCCTTTGGTCAGTCTCACATTAAACTTTGGAAGCAAATTAATTGCATATGTGTACAGTGTGTGCTGTGTTCCTATTTCCTTATGTTCTCTACTTCCAAATAACCTTGTTTTTATGTCAAAGATAGTGACATTGGTAAAAATACATGCTTTGCATAAGAAGATCTTAGTTACAATCCATGCCCTTTGCACTTAAGAGCCCATACAGTATAGTGATTAGAACATTGGACTAGAGTACATGTGGACTCAAATCATACTCAGTCACAAAGCTCACTTGATGACTTCCAGCCAGTCACTCTCCCTTAGCCTAGACTACTTCACAGGATGGTTGTGAGGATAACATTGATGAGGTGAGAACTATATACACCATTCTTGAGCTCCTTGGCAAAAAAAGGGGTGGAATAAAATGTGATAGATATCAGGTAGAAGATATTGGGGTAGGTCTGCATAATTCAATTCAATT